CCTCCTGCCTTAGCCTCCCAGTAGCTGGGACTATAGGCATGCATGCCTCTTAGAACACCTGACTCTTACAGGCACATAAATTTTCTAAAGCCAGGGATTTAGAAGGCAACAATTATCAGTGTTCTTTTTCATTCAAAAGATTTTGCAATTGCTAATTTACAAGTGCTGTTTGCTTGAATAACAATTGGGCAGTATATTGCCGTTTCCAAAATGTTTTATGTATGTGAATCTGATTTGGGTGTTAAGAAAAACCTTTGATATAGGTAGTTATCTCCATTGATGGCCAAGAGGAATCAGCTAGAGAGTTTAGTTATTTGTCTGAATTCACAACTAGTAAGTTAAAGAATTAAAACTGAAATTCAGTACTATTACTACTACTTCCTTTTTTCCTCCCTGGTGGTGCTTGGGTTTAAACCCAGGGCCTTATATGTGCTAGGCTAGCACTCTAACACTGAACTATATCCTTAATCCTTCTTATTTTATTTTATTTGTGGTGCTGGGGATTGAACCCAGGGCCTTATGCATACAAGGCAAACACTCTACCACTAAACTATATCTCTAGCCCCTTATTTTATTTTTGAGACAGGTTCTTGTTAAATTGCAGAGGCTAACCTTAAACTTACGTTCTTTCTGCCTTGACTTCCCAAGTAACTGGGATTATAGGGGGGTGCCATCTCCCCTGTGCCCAGGTATTTTAATACTAGATATAGGGAAATCTTTGAGTCAATGTGCTATTTACTGGTGTACAGACAGGTATAAACTTTCTGGAGAGGAAGATGATGATATGTACTGAGAACCTTAAAACTAATTATCAAATATGAATTAAAATTCTACTTCTAGGAATTTATTCGGAGGTAATAGACCTAGATAAGCTTGTTCACTATTATGCTATTTTTGATACTAAAATCAAATGTCATATTAAACTTGAAGGAACTTGTTAAATGTAAATTCATAATTGTTATCATTTAAATAAAATAAAAATATTACCATAGAAAAATTAGATTTTTGAATAATATGTAAAGTTGTTAAATTGTCTGTGGAATAATGTTAACTGAAAAACAGGATATAAGAGTTTATGATGAATATAATCCTACTTTTAGATAATATAGAAAAGAGACTGAAAGAAATGCACCGAATGTTAACTGTTGTTATCTTGAAATTTGAAGATTATGAATAATTTTATTTTCTCAATAGTCATCTGAGTTTTCCAACTAATTACAATGAATATGTACAACATAATCATAAAAAAGATAGTAAATATATCCCTGGCATTCAGAAGGTAGTTAATAAATGGTATCTAATGTCTTTAACTCTTGGAACATATAGTAAAATAAAAATTAGTGTTATTCTTACCATGCAGAGAAAAATCACTGCTTAATATTTGGTTTACTAGCTTGTTTTTATAAATGTACAAAAATGGGATCATAGTATTTTATATTTCACTTTAAAAATTAACATTTTGAAAATGTTCTAAAGTCAGAAAATATTTATTTAGATCATTGTTTTCAATGAGTGCATGGTATTATACGTGTGTTTTAAATTATTTTACCATTCCTCCTAGTGAACAATTAAGGTTGTTTCTTGTTCTCCCCATTCAGTGCTGCTGAATTCTTTCAGAAAACCACTCTCTCCCCGATGCTTATCTTATTCAAGGGTCTTTCTCCATGGTTATACTAAATCATTGGTTTGTGCATATGCCTCTGTGTGTCTGCATACCGAACAGTGGATCTGAGCCAAATGGAAGTTTTGTGTTAGCCAGGCAATCTAAGCATGTGGCAGGAGTAGCGTCATGTCTGTCTTCATGGCGGCAAACGATGCATGAAGGTCCAGTCTGATTTGAGATCACAGCTGCCTGTTGTCCATGCCTTTTGTGTGACCCCATTTCTGTGCACATTCCCTTTTTAATGGCCTGCACTGTGCATTATGTGCCTCATCATTCCAGTTCACCACTCACTTAGAATTTGGCAAAAACTAATTTACAGTTGCTAAGCCAGGGTATTCAAGGAATTAACTGAAGCAAAAATTTAACATAGAAAAGAGACTATACACACATACACATATATACATTGTTATACCAGCAAGTTTCTGGAAATTATTTAAAAGTCTTGATATTGTACTGCTTGCTAAGGAAAACTCCTCCTTACACTTCCCCTAAGTGATAAAATGTTTAAAATAAACAAGACCCAAAAGATATTGATTTCAAATGCTTCAAAAAGGGGCAGGGGGGTGAATGGAAATATTCCAAAGATGATTACCAGAATAGGGGTGAAAGGAAAAGAACTTGAAGAAATGAAAAGCAAATCAACCACCAAAAACTTTTTTCTAAGACTCTTTTGATTTGGAAATATAAATATAATAGAGATTTTTTTATGAATACCAGTCTCCTGCAGGAGCATGGACACAGACCTGATCCACGTTGATGGTAGTCAGAGCAAATGGGTTTTTGGTTAAAAAAGTAGCAGCTCTGTTGTAAGTCCTCAATCACCCCCATCCTATCACCTTATTTTATTTAAGGCATTTATCATTCTGAAATCTGAAATTATTTTATTTATTGTCTCTTTTCTCCCTTAAGATATATTTCCCTTGGGATCAGGGACTACTAACCATGCTGTTTATGAACCTGTAATAGTTCCTGATACTAAGAAGACACTAAATTGGAGGATGGGTGAATGAATGAAGAAATGAAAAAAAAAATGAAGCAACTCAAGGGGTTAATTCAAATATCTAAAGCCACATTCTTGGCTGACAGCTAGAAGTCATAAGATTAGAATCCATGTCTATGGGGCCTTCCAATCATTTGTTACCCCTGAATTTTTGATAGCTAAATAGTTAACCTTCATTGACTTAGTAGCTAGTGAGAATTCTTAAATGTCTATTAATTTATTCTTTCTTCTACATCTTCTCTTCCTTTTCCTTCTCCTCCTCACCACCCCCTCTTCTCCTACCCCACTGAACCTGGGGCACTTTACCACTGAGTTATATTCCTAGCCCTTTTTACATTTTTATTTTGTGATAGGATCTTGCTAAGTTGCTGGGACTGGCCTCAAACTTGCAATCTTCCTGCCTCAGCCTCCTAAATTGCTAGGATTATAAGTATGTACCACCGTGCCTGTGCCCCACAGATATCTGTTAATTTTCTAGGAATATATAGACTGTTTCCTGTTTAATATAAAAAGGTTTCAAATATTAGATACTAGGTTCTTGAATGCTTTCCTATTATGAGCTGTGAAAGATAGGTGCTTTATTTCGAGGAAAGATAATAGGAAGTGAGAGTTCTGTTTATAATATCATAGGTAGGCTCATGTGGATTTTAAGAGATAATTTAAAATGAAACACATTTGTACAGCAAGATCATTAAAATAGTAATGTTCTGCCAGGCGCAGTGGTGCATGCCTGTAATCCTAGTAACTTGAGTGTCTGAGGCAGAAAGATTTCAAGTTCAAGGACAGCCTGGACAACTTATTGAGATCCTTTCTCAAAAAATTAAAAGGTCTGGGCATGTAGTTCAATGGCAAAGCACCCCAGGTTTACTCCCCACTGCTCATCCTTCCCCCATAGAGTAACATACGTTAAAAAAAAATTGTAGAAGAAGAAAAATAAGTATTGATTATCCCCCCAAACAAAGGATAATATTATTACTATGAATTAATTCTAATCTCCCTTACAAAATCCAAAAGGGTTGCTCATTGATGTATATTTCTCAAGACATTCAGGTACTGAATTCTAAAATGAAGGCATTTCGTGAGCCTCTCTGAGCAGCAGACACAGTTTGGGCATGGTCTTGTATTTCTCTCCCAGGGTCACCCAGTACACCCCATACCAGCCAGAGGTGTCTCAGGGGAGGTTGGAGAGTTTACTCAACTACCAGACCATGGTGTGTGACATCACAGGCATGGACATGGCCAATGCATCCCTGCTGGATGAGGCGACCGCAGCTGCTGAGGCGATGCAGCTGTGCCACAGGTAAGAGAGAGAGAGAGACAGACAGACAGAAACAAAGACAGGGACAGGGATATAGATAGGGCCTGGGTAATTCGCCCAAGCTGTCCTCAAACTTGGGATCCTCCTGCTTCAGCCTGCCCAGTAGCTAGGATTACAGGCATGTGTCAGTGTACCTGGTTATTCTCAGTTTTTCACTGATTTCAACTCCCTGTTCCTACCATCTATCCTCTCTACTCCTCCCTCTCCCTCTTTTTCTTTTTACTAGGGACTGAACCCAGGGGTGCTTAACCACTGAGCTGGAGCTCTGGCTGGAGCTGGAGCTGGAGCTGGAGCTCACAGACCTTTAAAAAATTTTTTATTTAGAGACAGGGTCTCACTAAGTTGCTTAGGGCCTCACTAAGTTGCTGAGACTAGCTTTGCCTCAGCTTCCTGAGCCACTGGGATACAGGCTGGATCACCATGCTACCTCCCCCTGCCTCTTTTTCTATGTGGAAAAGTTCACCTCACACTTGTGGAGCCCAGGGGTTTCCTACCTTGATATATTCAGTATCCATGGGCTGTGCTCACACTCTGCAAATGCCTGATGTATGTCTTCCCTTCATTCTCATTCCTTGGTGTCTGCATTTAGATTTACTCTTGAAAAGCAGCCCTAAGAGCTTAGATGTGTGCTTTTTATTTGTAGCAAAAATATTTTTTATTTTTATTTTATTTATTTATTTTATTAGCTACACATGACATTACAATGATCTTGGCAATTCATACATTTGAATCATTGGGGTATAATTTCTCATTTTTCTAATTGTACAGATTGCAGAATCACACTGATCATAGGGTCACCTATATACATACAGCAATCATAATGTCTATTCTATTCTGCTGCCCTTCCTATCCCCCCTACTCCTCCCCTCCCTTTTAAAAGCAGGGGGTGAAACTGCTAAGGATGAAGACAACGATAACTATTACCCTCATGGTTCACAAAATACACCTCCTCGTCCCTGGGTGGGTTCGAACCACCAGCCTTTCGGTTAACAGCTGAACGCGCTAACCGATTGCGCCACAGAGACAGGCACTAGCAAAAATATTTTAAATAGTGCTGTTTCTGTTTGTACCTCAGGTCATTTAGGCTCTCAGAGTGCTTTTTCTCCAGGTTTATTTAGATTCAAACTGTTAAGAGCACTGTGTATTGGATAACTAATCATTTTTGTATTTTCCCAACTCTGCCAATTCCTCTATTAATTTTATTTATTGTAAAATTTTGGAAAAAATTTCAGAAAGTTGAGTGGGATGTAAGTAAAAGTAAATCCTGCTGTTTTCTTTTCATAGTCCCCTGAAGCCATTGTTGATTATCCATTAGGTCTCCTTCTGGATATTAAGTGTGTAGCACAATGCACACATATCTCCCCTCCCCACCCCTTTTCTTTTTATCCTAATGTGATCATGATACCGAACTATGAGCGTCCATCCCAGTTTTGTTGCTTGAAACCATGGGATGGTAGGGAGCTCCCAGGGTTCAGGTTCCATTCTGCTCTTTGTGGTCCTGTGTACCTCATAACCTAAGTCTTTTTCCTCTTGTATGAGTGAAGGAACTTGATTTAGATATATATTTTTAAAATGCTCCTTATGCCAATAAAATTCTAAGATGTGTTTATTTATAAGATTTTTTAAATTTTTCACTTATATCTAAGTGAAAAATTGACCTTTTCTTTCTGTCTTATTGTGATATATTTTTTTTAAAAAATTGAGCTGTTTTGCCAGGTGTAGGGTGCATGCCTATAATCCCAGCAACTTGGGAGCCTGAGGAAGATTGCAAGTTCAAGGTCAGCCTCAGCAACTTAACAAGACCCTGTCTCAATATTAAAAAACAATAAAAGGGGCTAGGTTTAGAGCTCAGTGGTAAAGTGTCTTTGGGTTCAATCCCTCATACCAAAAAGAAAAAAAAATATGTATATATATAATATATATATATATATATATATTTGCGCCTTTTTAAGACTGATTTTACTAAATGGGGTTAGGATGGGAATTTGATTTAAGTGGAATCACAGTCAATATCATTAGGAATTAATGACTTGGTACTTTTTGTACTATGCTCAGTCTTTCCCTAAGTGCCATGTTTGCTATGCATTCTCGGATACTTTGATTTTTTTAATGTTCATGTTTGAATGTGCTTTTTCTTTTCAATAGACACAACAAGAGGAGGAAATTTTTTGTTGACCCTCGTTGCCACCCACAAACAATAGCTGTCATCCAGACTCGAGCCAAGTAATTAACTTTATCTGTTTTAAACCCAGGGTAATATCACACTCATCTCTTGTTCTTTGTCACTTGTAACCTGATTGGAAGTGAATATGCTTTTAATTAGGATCATTGCGCTTTACTTTCTGTCCTACTTTCTTCCAGGGATTTCTCTGTTAACCTCACTGTCAGAATCAAAGGGATACACAGTGGGTTTAGTTGCTTTGTTTCATGGTAATTTACCATGCTGTTTCATTGTCTTTTCGTTTAAAAAATACATATATATGTAAATACTATTTCAGAAATTTTAAAAAAACAAAGGGGAAAAATAGAACTCACCCATAGTTATGATTTTTTTATGTGTCCTCTGTAAACATCATTTATGGGGAATCTACATAATACCCAGGTGTAAACTAATGTAAGGTGTGTTCCATTTGTTTAGTTCTGTAATCAGATGCACAAACCTAGCACCACCTCCATTTGTGTGCGTTTGCTTTCTCCTTTGGAAACATCAGGCGTCCCTCCCCCATCCCACACCACCATCCTGCACCCCTTCAGAAGGTTTTCTGACATACGATTATAGTTAGAGTTTAGAAATCTAGGGAAATTCTTCCTCCTCACCTTACTGATGTTTTCCTAGTTACCTAGAACTGATCCCAGGTCCAAGTGGTGGTGGCTCTGTGGTTTCAGCTGTTTTTCCTTCTGCCTTAGGAAGTGGTGCTCCTGGTTCTCTCTCAGGAGTAGGTTCTGATGGAAAGGTTGAAGGAGGAGAGTGCTAGGGGTAGAAAGGAGAGAGGGGAAGAAGCTGAGCTGCTGGATGCTCTGGAGTTGGTGTGACGTCCTGTTACCATGGAAGGGCCAGGTGTGGGATGGGGTGGGGCTGGGAGGACATCAGGGAAAAGAAACTGTAGTTCACTTAATTTTCCCTCGTAAAGCCAAAACATGATTGTGCTTTGTCTTCTTTTTTCCAGGCACCGTGGAGTCCTCATTGAGCTGAAGTTACCCCATGAAATGGACTTCAGTGGAAAAGATGTCAGTGGGGTGTTGTTCCAATACCCAGATACCGAGGGGAAGGTGGAAGACTTTACAGAACTTGTGGAGAGAGCCCATGAGACTGGGGTAGGCAGACCTCCTTGGGGGAGTTCAGGGAGGTGTGTCCCATCTTGTGTCTATCTATCCATCTTTTTTTTTTTTTTAAAAAAAAGAGAGTGAGAGAGGGAGAGAGAGAGGAGAGAGAGAGAATTTTAATATTTATTTATTTTTTTATTTTATCGGCAGACACAACATCTTTGTTTGTATGTGGTGCTGAGGATCGAACCCGGGCTGCACGCATGCCAGGCGAGCGCTACCGCTTGAGCCACATCCCCAGCCCATCTATCCATCTTTTGATGTCTTAATTTCTTTACCATTATCACAAGGAATGGAGAAACTCCAACCTCTTCCTTTCTCTTGATATATTTTGTTCATAAATAAAATTGCAGGCCCTCTGAATATTTGTTCAAAGAATGAAGGAGCAAACGGACTTCACTGCACATGAACCAGCTGTCGTAGATCTAGTTATTAGGTGCTCTGCTCTCAGGCGAAGGCAGCAACTCCACCCTTTCTTTCCTTTCCAGACCCTGACCTGCTGTGCTACTGACCTTCTAGCCCTGTGTATCTTGAGGCCACCAGGAGAGTTTGGGGTGGATATTGCCCTGGGCAACTCACAGAGATTTGGAGTGCCACTGGGCTACGGCGGACCACATGCAGCCTTTTTTGCTGTCAGAGAAAGCTTGGTGAGGATGATGCCTGGAAGGATGGTAGGGGTAACAAGGTAAAGCAGCTCCTGTTGCCCACCCTACCCCCCCTTTATTGTGTGTGGTTCCTTTCCTGTTCCTTCTGATCACAAATATTGAGTTAATGAAACAAATGTACAGCACAGATTAAGATGGGAGAGTCCGGGATATGAACTAGTACTTCTCAAACACCCTAAATTTTGTACATATTTGAAGAAATGTGTGTATAATTTACCATATATTGGTGTTTAGTCATGTAAATGCATTCGTTTAGGTTGACGAAAACCTTGAGACACTCAATATTTTAGGTGCATTTTGTGTCTACCTGGTTTGTTTATCATAAGTATTCTCATACCACATAGTTATGTAAAGACAAGTGCAATGAGAGGTGACAGAGAGCACATTAAGTGATTTCTGTCACTTCCCAGCGGCGTCTGCCACTTGACATTGAAGTAATTTTCAGATGTACTTTCTCAAGTGCTTCTCATTCATAAAGCTTCTCCGATGAAGAATTCAGAGGACTGCCAGGAATATTGCTGGGGATATTTAGCATAATCATTTTGCTAAAAGCTGGACTGTTGAACATAAATGAGTAGGCTGAATATAGTGAGTGATGTAAGGGTGATATAAAATTTTGAAATACTCTCTCAATTTGTGTAACAGCTTTTTAGTGTAGAAACAGTCTCATCAACTACTCTTGCATGAACTTATCTTATTGATGTCCTTTCTTCATCACGGATGAGGCAGAGGGCTTTCTAATTTAAAAAGTGTGTTAGTTACTGTTGGTTGATTTTTTTAAGTGTTTTTTTGTTTGTTTGTTTGTTTTGGTAGTGGGGTTTGAACTTGG